TCAGTTAAACATCCCTCTGGCAATCCGGGACTACTGGCTCCTAACTGCTTGCCTGCTTGCCTCATTGCCCCTAACCACTCTGCCTGCCTGACTCATCCCCCCTAACCACTCACCTACCTGCCTCATTGCCTCTAACCACTCTGCCTGCCTTGCCTGATTGCCCCTAACCGCCTCTGCCTGCCTGCCTGATTACCCCTAACTGCTTGCCTGCCTTCCTGATTGCCCCTAACTGCCTCTGCCTTTGCCCCCACCGCTGTGGCTTGTCTGGAAGGACATCCGGAATGACATCCAGAAGGTTGTTCGGCTGTCAGGTCTAATTAGCATATTTTGCTTTTATTATTATAGATTAAAAATGTCATAATATTTTAATGCTGATATTTAAATACAAGACATTTGATTACATTTTTCAAACATTTATGTTTCTTTGTTTACCATCAAGTCAGTTAGAGATATGAGGATCTAACTCACCGGTTGAAGTATAAAGATACCATTGTTTTTGTTGTGGTAATGGCTCTTCTATTATGATCTATCTCAGACCCCAAATTTTTTTTATCAGGGTGTGAAGAACAAGGTAGGCATACAATGACTGGCTTCTGGAAAGGATGTGTGGATGGGTGCTGCACATGAATCAGAGGGCTGGTGGATAGTACGGAGTAGGAAGTATCTTGCTGTGTTTTTAAATATGCCACCAGAGATGGGTCAACTGGTTGGATCTAAACAAATAAAGAAACAAAAAAAAATATATATAGGTTGTCCCCCCAAAAATATATACACACTTTAACAGCTGATAACTCAATTTTCACTCCTTTTCAGGTTTAACTGATTTGAAATAATGGGTGAAGCCAGACTAAGCTTTGAACAAAGAAAATTTATCCTAAAGTGCCCTTAGACTTTTTTTTATGGGGATACATAAAAGGTAAAGTTTATGGTACAAACCCAGCAAAAGCCCACAAATTGAGGGCACACAAAAACCAAATGAAGTGATTCCTGATGTTTGTGATTCCATTGCTTCACTTTATCAGCAATGCCTGGACCAGAATGGTCATCAGTTTGAAAACAGGCACTGACAAAAAAAATTATTCATTTCTGTAGATAATTTTAAATTTTGAAAATGAACTATCCTATATAAAAAAAGGCTAATATGCAAATTGTCTCCTTGACCGGGAGTTCGACTGGGGATGGGGCCGGCTGGCCAACGGCCCACAACCCCTCCAGCCCTCCAGCCCGGCCAGCCAGGCCCAATCAGCCCCTATTGGGGTGGGCCAGCAGGACCCCACCCATGCACGAATTCATGCACCAGGCCTCTAGTATGTTAATAAACACTTTATAATCATTCAAAGTGTGTATACATTTGGGGGGACACCTTGTGTACATATATATTCCTATATTTAATTAGCAAAAGATGTAAAGTATCAGCATATTTATAAACCAGTTTTCTGAAACTTTGAAGGAATGTAGTTTTAATATATTTCTTTATACATTGTTCGCTGAATCAATACTGCATTAATTTATAAAAAAGCACAACATTTAGTCCCTTTTTACAAAGTCTTTGTGAAATCTAGTTTCCCTGTCCTTTTTTATAAATAACTGAGAAACACTCTAAATTGTAGGCAACAAAATGACCTAGAAAACAAAATAAGCATTTTACGTAATTTCTAATTAAAACTATTGTTAGATCAAGTGATCCTAAGAAACTAGAAACACAAGACTATATTTACTTAAGTGTTTTCTCTCACATAAGAAAACACTGCTTTAGCTAATAATAAAAATAGCTAGCATAATTCCAAAATTTCAAAGTTTATGAAAACTATTTATAAAATTAATTATTCATAATATCTTTTATTTAAAACTTTCCTTCTTTGCTTACCTTTTGTGGTAACAACTGGGAGAAACAGAAGCACCTGGGAAAGAGTTGAGGCCAGAAGTACAAGGAAAACTGAGGAAATGCATGTTCTAAAATATACATTGATATAACATTGCTCACCTTTGTATATATTGAATTCTTTAACAGTCTAAAACAGTCTTCCCAAGAATGACTTTTTTATAATTACATATAACCAGACTTTCAAAATCATAAATATTTTAATGGACTAGCCTCTTTTTTGCTTCTGAGGTGGAAATCTTGAATCATATGAATGTCCAGTGCCTGGCATCAATTCTATCATACTCAACATATATTTTTGTTCATAACCATCATAAACAAAACAATACAAAAACTAGCTAGAAAAAATCTTTCAAATAAAGTGGAGATTCATTTTGCAGTGAGATTCAGTTATGCTCCAAATCTCATTTTATGACTAAAAACACTGTATGTTAGGTGGTTAAAAACATCAGAGAAGAATTCATTTACTGTTTTATTAAATATTTTGATCTTCTTCATCTTTTAGGACCAGGTTTGATGACTCACACAATCTATAAGAAGGAAATCACCAGTTATTAATATTTACCTTTAATTGCACAAGCACGGGTGAGCCGAAAACTCCCGGAGGGTAATGCAGGGATATCCGCGAATCCATGCTTGGCTTGAGAGTGAGGCCTTTCTTTGTTACTGTGAAGGACTCTTTCTTTAAACAGGACACGACAGAGAAGATACCCAACTTGTAAACTTTCACTTCAGCACAGGTCCCCTGTGTGGATTGAAGGACAGTAAGACAAGGACATTAGCACAGCACTGTTCTTACATGCTCTGTGGCTGTGAAAAAAATCTACATGCTGTCCCTGTTCGCCCACAACTCGCCCATAGGTAACCAGAAATTTCTCAGTTTTGAGCTACATAACAGAAAAGAGAAGATGTCAGTTTATTTTTTAATTTAAAATAAATCCCAAAGAGAAAATGTATATGTACAATGAGCAATCATGTTCAGTATTTTTAACAGATATTAATTACTTCTGGAATCCCATCCTCCTTAAGTTCACCAGAATGGACTTTAAATATTGGCCTTTATCCAGAAGAGTCAACCCTGCTTTAGGACTGAAATTTCATTGGGTACTTTCCGTACACATGATAGCACCTGTACCGTCAGCAAATTCTTCCTTCTGACAACTCAATCTCTTAGTAAAGTCATTTTCTCTACTTCTGTCCTCCATGCAGTAGGAGTAGTTAACTACCAAGAGAGACATTTGTGTTTCATTTTTTACATAGTGATATTTAAATTTCAAGCCTTTTTTATCACATAAAAGGAACTGTACATAAATGAAAACAGAATTATCTACTCATATAATCTCCGGCGCTTAGAATGAGAAGGAAGACTTAGAAGCAATTTGATCTATTCATGCTTTCCTGAGCACCAGCCGGGCTCCACCCTGGTGTGAGTGGATCATCAGGCAGACACACAAACATTTCAGGGACAATCACAATGCAAACTAATCTATCATTTGAAAACTGACTAAGGAAAATATTTCACAATATCACTGCATGACTCCGTCGCTGGGAAAATTCAGGGCATGGTGAATGTCCCTAATTGGCTGGAGGGAATATGGTGAAAGATAAGAAAGTGTTCTGGGAACCAGTGGTGGTTGGCCTGTATCTCAGGCACATCTGGCAGATGCTAGGAAACAGGAAGGGTTATTGATCAAGGGTGTGTCATGAACAGAGCTCTGATGGTGGTTCATCTGACTCTGGAGTTAGAATTCTTAATATGAACCACATGAACATTTGGAAGGAATCCAGAGTTTAAATTGTCTTGAGCTAAAAATAGAGATAACTACTATTAGAATATTCTAAAGAGAAAAGTATATGCTTTTATTTTTTTCCAGTAGGCAATGGTGTTCTCTCTCTCTCTCTCTCTCTCTCTCTCTCTCTCTCTCTATTATTCATTTTTTAAATATATTTTATTGATTTTTTTTTTTTTTTTACAGAGAGGAAGGGAGAAGGATAGAGAGAAATATCGATGAGAGAGAAACATTAATCATCTGCCTCCTGCACACCTCCTACTGGGGATGTGCCCACAACCAAGGTACATGCCTTGACCAGAATCAAACCTGTGACTTTTCAGTCTGCCGGCCGACGCTCTATCCACTGAGCCAAACCGGTTAGGGCTGATTATTCATTTGCTAAACATCTTGTGTACCTACTTTGTGAAAACCACATGTACCTGAGCACTTTTTGCTTCTATGTCAGGCAGAATGGCCAAGATTAAAAAGCCCCAATCAAGAGCTGTTATACTTACAGGCTTCCTAGACTAAATATAACATGTATTAGTTGCATAAGTTGGAGTAAATAATGAGAACAGGCTTAGCTTTCATATTTAACTGTATATCCTTATTTGTGAATCAGAAAAGACCAAACCAGAAAAAGTAGAGGTGTGTTATAAAGAATTTCTTGTATACATGGAATGTTTTCACATTTATGCCTTGCCCTCCTCTTCAAATAATGACAATTTACATAAAGCAAAAAAGGACAAATATTTAAATTGTTTCAAAGTAAGTTCACTGGCCCACAGAAGTTTCTTAAATATTTGTTCCCATCAAATCTATGCTAAGTTTAGTAATTGTGAATATTCTTTCTTCAAAATGTATGGATTTGTGGCCATAGAATTATACAGTAAAGTGTACTATGGGGGAAAAATAGATCATTTTTAACTGCTAGCATGTGTTTTAGGCTTCCTTTTATCTTTTTAAGTGTACAATAGTTTTTCATTTTGTCCTTATGACCCTATCAGGTAGATGTTATTATTTGTTCATTTTCCAGATGAAGAAATTGAGTCATAGCAAGGTTACATAATTTACCAAAGTTAACATAGCAAGAAAGTATATGAACCACATTTGAATCCTTCACAACCCACATCCTAACAACCACATATACTATCTTTCATATATGAACTAAACACAATTTATAGACTAAAAATTATCTCAAAGCATACACACACATGCACAGTTGTTCATTTTAACATAATTTTCCAACCCATGACTGATAAAAATAAAGCTACTATCATCTGGGGACTCTAACATTCTTAAATTTTGCAGAGATCCATCACAGTGAAAACGTTAGTCTAAAGCCCGACTGGCATGGCTAAGTGGTTGAATGTCGACCTATGAACCAGGAAGTCACAGTTTGGTTCCCGGTAGGGGCACATGCCCAGGTTGCGGGCTTGACTCCCAGTGTGGGGCATGTAGGAGGCAGTCGATCAATGATTCTCTCTCATCATTAATATTTCTATCTCTCTCTTCCTTTCCCTTCCTTTCTGAAATCAATAAAAATATATTTTTTAAAAAATGTTAGTCTAAAGCTAGTCTAACAAAGACATGAAGTTAATTAAGCCATGGTGTTGGTTTTGTTAACCACGTAAAAACATTTGCTGTGTCCTAGACCCAAGTTCTCCATCCCTCAATTTGGCCAGTAATTTCTGTTCTTTGATCTTTGTGACTTTAGAGATCCTCAGAATTATACAATAAAGTGTACCATGGAAAAATTATAATTTTAACTCCTAGCATGTGTAATTTCTGTCCTTTCTGCTCTTTGTGGCAAAAAAAAAAGTGAATGCATTAGAATAAATCTTTGAGCCCTTTCATTTGTTACTAATGAGTAATTATATATATACTACAATCTGGTAGTGTAAGCAGTATTTAGAGAAGGAATCAAACAGCAAGTGTAGATGTAGCCAATGATTTACCAACCTTGTAACTTCCTCTCATTCCATCCAAGGAACTTGGGGTTAGGTAACTTGACTGAAGGTTTATGTCAGACATTTTCACCATGATGTCTTTGTAATTTCCCCTGTAACATGCGGTAAATGGAATTGCAATGCATATTGGAAATGGAATTCTCATTTCCATATCTGAGCACTCAATAGTGATGACATTGCTGACCAACTCTTCATTATCACTCACTATCAAAGAACTCATGCTGTTAATTATTCGGCATTCTAGATGTTGTAGAAGGTATGAAGGTGCTGTGATGTAACAAGACACTTGAGGGCCCCTGTCATCACTCAGCACATCAAGATACCTGCAGGGGTGAGAAAGGACATAGTTTTTGTAAATACTTGATTTATGTATTTTATGGGTACATATATAAGAGCCTGAGCTCTAGGGTCACATTTTCTTTTGTGAATCCCAGTTCTCTGACTTACTGATGCTGTGACCTTGGGCAATATACTCAACAATATACTCTCTGTGCCTCAGTTTCCTCAACTATAGCATGGTATTAAAATAATAACTGATTTCATAGGAAGGCTGTGAAGATTAAATGAACTACTATAGGTTAAGTAATTAAAAAGTTGTGCCTAGCCCTGGCCAGTGTGGCTCAGTTGGTTGGGCATCATCCCAAGCACCAAAAGGTTGCTCTTTGGATTCCCAGTAGGGGGTGTGTGCTGGAGGCAGCCGATCGAATTTTCACTCTCACATAGATGTTTCTTTCTCTCTCCCCCTCTCCCTTCCTCTCTCTCTAAAAATCAATAAAAGTATTTTTAATCTCTACTTAGAACATAGTATTACATATATTACTTATTATTATTGTTACTATTTTCATTGGTGTTATTATTTAAGTGATTGATTCATCCCTCGGTTTTGTTCATGTCCCAATATGAATCTGAAGATTGCTGAAGCTTCTTGATAAACCAAATATTAACACCTGAGTAGTTTCTTAAGTTATGGGGGGAGTAAATGTATATCTGGTATTGGAATTGTCTAAACATATTAGATCAACTTATGATGTTAATTCCATTTTTTAGAAAAACTGAGAGAGGTACAAACGTGCTGTGAATTTATGACTAATCAAGGTAATTAGAAACAGAAATAGAATATTTAAAATCCTCAAAGAATCAATCCAAAAGCATATTTTTACAGAAAGTTTATTTTAACTATGTGTATTACTCTTGCTTTTATACCATCACCTTTGCCAAATATTTTAGAGTCTTATAGACTCAAATTCAAATTTGAGATCAGTCACTTGCTATGTTTGACCTTAAACATCAGTAATTACTATTAAAATTGCTAATTTTTAGCTTTTTCTATGGGCTAGGTATTAGGCTATACATTATTTCATTTAATCCTCACACTATGAGGTCAGGTAGGTATATCATCACCCTCTCTCTATATAAAAGCCTAAGCGACCCTTACAACTGGACAACCAGCCAGTAGCTATGACGTGCACTGACCACCAGGGGGCAGATGCTCAATGCAGGGGCTGCCCCCTGGTGATCAGTGTGCTCCCACAGTCAACTTCCCGCAGCTGGCCAACCTCCCATAGTCCCTCCCTGTGGCCAACCGGCCCCCATCGGCCTAACTGGCCCAATTGCTGGCCAGGAAGAGGGACCCCACCCATACATGAATCCATGCACCAGGCCTCTAGTTTTACAGATAAGGAAAGTGAGGTCTAAAAATTTTAACTTTCTGAAGATTACACTGATGGTAAGCTGTAGAATCAATAATTTAATCCATTCACCTTTAACACAAAAGCTCAAACTTTCTAATATAATATCATATTTCCTCAAATTATTCTAAAGTCCTGAGATTTTTATGCCTTACATACTGAAACTAATATCTCATTCACAATAGTATAAAGATTAAATGAAATAAAATTGAAATATATTTAGAGAAATCAGAGGAGCTATATAAAATATAACATTAATAATCAGGTTTAAGAGAAACCCACACCTGAAACCTATATGCTCATGTTGACCAATGTCACCCCAATAAATTTAATTAAAAATAATCAGTTTTAGAATTACCAGGTCTTAACTATTTTTCAGTTATTGGTAACTTAAATTTTATAGTGTACTTGAACATAGACATCTAAAAATATATGTTGAAATTGCAGAGAGAGTTATTTATTTGTATTTATCATTCTGAACCCATAGAAGTAGAAGAAAATTACCCAGCCCATTGGTATGTAGAAGTATTCTCTGATGGTGGTGATTATGGTAATTCAGAAAATGAGAAACATTGTCTAGGATACAATGACCCAGCCTTCAAGAATGACTTCAAGAAGAATGACTCCAAGAATGACTCTCTTCTGTGCCCCAGATGAAGTAAGGTGAGGCGACCTGTAAGTGCTTTCATTCACCCTATCCCTAGTCAAAGAGATAAGGTCCAGCCTCGAAAATAATCAATGGGTTTGTTCCAGTTTTGTTTTCCTTTCAGTCTGTATAGAGGAGGACAACTACACTAGAAAAAATAGACTTTTTCCCCAAAAAAAGAAACTATTCAGAGAGGAATCACAACAGATTCTGTGGTAGGTGTTTTTTTAAAATAACACTCATCTTTTATGTGTCAAGTGGGCCTCTGTAGCCTGAGAGATTTCAATGAGTAGTCATCTTCATAGATATGCAAGCCAAGCACAATTGGTTTGTAGGCCACAAAGAGGAAACCAGCCACTAGAAAACACCTAAAGGCGTGTGAGAGGTGTAATGCAGCAATGACTCATTAGCGGATGCTTTGAGTCATTTCTGAATGTGAGGATCCTGAAGTGTTAATGTTTTTCTCAAGTGAAATGGGCAGCTACTTCAACAGTTGTTTTGCGGGGGCGCTAATTCTTTAGAACCATGGGGGTCTTTCATGCACTGAATGTCCTTCTGGATCACCTATAGAATTTATTAGATTTTTCAGACCTATAGCATCCTCACAGCAAAACTAGCTCAACCTCTTATTTTATAAATGAGATGACTAAAGTCAAAGTGAGCAGAATGACTTGCCTGTGATCACAGACTCATTTGTGGTGTGGTCCTGAAATAGTACCTTGCATCTGAAAGAGCATCACACCTGGTGGCAGCGAGGGGACAAGTGAAGGTTGGTCATGTGGGGGAGAAAGTGAGGGTTGTTGAGGTGAAATAAATGAACACACTAACATTTAGCTTAGTGTGAACCTCTGCAAAGTAACATGGGACTAGGACCTTCACATGATTTTCTCATTTGAGTTATCCCAGAAAATAGATACAATTTCCTACAAAGAGGGCTCAGTAATGAAGCATGTTGCCCAGGGTCACAGTTTGTAATAAAACAGGAGATAAAATGTAAGTCTGTCTGACTCACAAACCAATGATATATTTTTTTTTTATTTTCATATTCCACATTGCCTTCTAAGGGTGTTATTTTTGCTGAAAAAATATAGCTTGTGAGTATTTTATTTGAACAAATAAAATATATAGGGGTAATTACCTACTTGTATTGGGGAGATAAAAAGATCAGTCTTATACACTTTTTGAAGTCACAGTTTCTTTGAGAGTTTTATGGAAGCTCTGGACCAAGGAGATTTAATTGGTATGAAAATATGCATTCAGGTTTAAAAACCTCCCAAAGCTCTTCCCTGATCCCCCTAGAGCTCTGCTGACACGGAATTCATGATTATTTATAAACTAGAGGCCCGGGAGGCCGGGTGGGGAGGTCCCTCAGCCCGACCTGCACCCTTTCCAATTCGGGAGCCCTCAGGGGATTTGCTACTGACGGCTTGGGCCCACTCCCTATGGTTCTCTGCTCTCTGCAGGGCCTGCCTGCTCCACACCACGGGGATGGGCAAGCAGGCCCTGCTGGGTGCTGCCTGTGGCCTTGATTGCCTGCTCCCCGGGTCGCCGTGGCAACAGCCCAGCAGGCCCTGCTGGGTGCAGCCTGCATGCCCGCTTGCCTGCTGGGCTCACATTGCCAGGGTGTTGCTGCCAGCGTCCTGCCCAGCCGCTATGGGCGCCACCATCTTTGTCGCGGAGTGATGGTTAATTTGCATATTACACTTTTATTAGATAGGATAAAATAAACCTGAGAATTTACTGAGGAATGTAAATAAAATAAACCTGAGGTTGGGAAATTCTCTCCCAAATTTGGAACACTTTGCAGCCTTCTAATTTTTTCTTATTATAATTGAAAAAAATAGTGATTATAAAGTGTCCCCATTCTGGATAATGATACAGTTTAACTACTTTCTCATATCATCAATTTCTTCCTTCTTTAAAAAGTATTTAATGTTTGTCTCCTAAAGCTATAAGAAACAAGAAATATTAGTAATAGCAGCCATACAAATTTTTATAGAAGTAATTTAAACTGAATTACTGATTTGCAATATCTTTTGGAGATATTAAATGTAAATATAAAATTTTATTCATGTATACATGCTATGACTGCTAACTACGGAAACACATATGAATAGGCATAGATAAGCATCTCTCCCATTGATTACATTTACTTACTCCTTTTCCATTATGTTATCTTTTTGCTTTAGACTCTTTGAATCATTGGGAAGAAGACCATTCTCGCATTTATTGGCCGTATCGCATGTTATTGGGGCTGTGGTAGCCTCTTCTCTTTGGTTTTCTGAGCTCTCTTGAATTTCTCTTTCTGTTGTCTGGGTGATGTCACGTGTCTCTTCCCTGCTGCCATTCGTGTCTTCAGCAGTCACGTGTGCCATTTGTTTATAATCTCCATTTTCTGCACTATCTGGGAACATTTCGTTCTGAGACTCTTCTTGCCCTGTGACATCTCCATTCACTGATGTATTGTTTTCTTTTTCCGCTGATTCCAAACTCATGTGTGTTTTATTTTTCTTTAATCCGTCCTGGTGCGTGTCATGACTTTCCGCCCCACTTGTGGGAGGAACAGTGGCTGTTTCTATGACATTTTGTTCCCCTCTTGCAGCAATGTCTGTTGCTTTGATGTCCTGAATGGCAGACATTGTCTGCAGTGGAGTACATTCCTCAAGCACGCCGCATAAATGACACATCTGCTTTCCTTCTTCCTTTAGAAGTGTAGCAGTGCTCCCCAAATATTCACTTATTTTCGTGAGGCAGTCTATGAAAGTAATGATTTCTACGCACACATACACACAGAGAGACACATAAAAAGAAATGCAAAACCAAACCAAGTTATGTTTCTCCCCTGACATGTAATGAGTTATGGCAAGATAACCTTAGAAACCCTACCAAGGCCCCTACTGGGCATTAAGCCAATCTCCCTCCTGAGGGAGAAGTCATTTGTACGACTGTCATTCTCTTAACACATCTAGGAATGGGGGACAAATTGCTTTTAATCTAGTAGTAAATCAAATCCTTTTTGTTGTGAAAATTCTTTGAATATTGGAGGACATATATTCTAACCTCCCCATAGACTGTTCAATTGAGGTCAATATCTCCCTTAGCCATGCCTTATTAGGTAAGATTTTGAGACTTATTCTTTCTCCTTTGAATGTACTATAGCCCATCAATTGTCCATTTATAATTATTTGCCTAAATTTAGCAAACACTCTAGATGAGACTTGGGTAGAGGTAAACCATTGCAACATTATTTCTGTGGGTGTGGATGCTATATTGAGTATTTTGTTTGCTGTTATGAGAATTGGATTAGGTTGACACTATTTCTCCTGCTGAGCTTGTGGTCCTTGGCAATTTTCAAATTAGTCTTTCAAAGGATAGCTCTAATTATACTGATTCTCTGATTGGAAGCTGCAGTGGCTATTAAAACACCATTAAAGAAAGTCAAGCCTCTTCACTCTAGTGTATACCCTCATCCTGCATCCCCATTTCTTACCATTCTCCTTTTCATTTCTCCTCTCCTCATAGCGGGCTCACCTGACGCCTTCTTGCAGTCTTAGTAACTCTCCAGTCTTCAGAATTCAATTCTGAAGTATGGAATCTGATATGTAAGACCCCATAGCTCGGTGTTTTTAGAATCATAGATAAACCATCCTTTTACTAGTCTGGACTTAACTTTGGGATCCAGTTCTGACAACTGGTTTTTTGTCTTGTAGCTGAGATTGCGTGTTTATTTTGAATATCTGTTCTGATAGCTGAGTCCTTATCATTTTCTATGAATAACAATTCAACTTAATATGTTGCCTAGGAGCACATTGAGTTCTCTGCAGAGATTTGAATCCTGGCTCTGAGTTCCAGCTGATAGTCTCTGGGTCAGTTATCTTTGGATAAATTTTTTCAGATGCCCACCATTGCCCTTCAGACTGAACATTATTGGCCCTAGATTCCTGAGTGATAAGACTGCCCACTTGCCTTGACACTATATGATTTAGCATTGGATTTCATGATGCCTCCGTCTGCTAATCTAGAGTAATTGTTATCTGAGGTCATATTCATCATTCCTGCTGTACTGTACTTCTCAGCATCCATAACTGGGCCTATTCCCAAGAATTTGAACACAAAGGGGCAGGGGGAAATCCAATGTCATAACCCAGATCACCCTAGCCTTTCCAATTTTTTTCACTAAAGGTTCAAACTCAAATAAGTCTAAAACTAGAATATCACATTCCAATGTAGAAAAATGGCTTGTTCTGCCTCAAAGTAAGCCTATATTTTCTTACTTCTAAGTCTTGGATCCTGCTGATAATATCTCTGCCTGGAATGCTCTTCCTTTTTTTTTAACTTAAAATGATGTACTTTTTAAAAGTTTGTATTTATTTTTTAATCTTCACCTGAGGATATTTTTCCATTGATTTTTTTTTTTTTTTAGAGAGAGAGAGAGTGGAAGAGAGAGGGAAAGGCAGAGAGAAACATTGCTGAGAGAGAGGGAAAGGCAGAGAGAAACATTGCTGTGAGAGAACCATTGATTGGTTGCACCCTGCACATGCCCTGATCAGAGCCTGGGCCCAGGAGGAGCCTGCAACAGAGATACGTGTCCCTGACTGGAATCAAACCCTCGGTCCACAGGCTGATGCTCTATTCACTGAGCCAAACTGGCAAGGGCTGCCTGGAATGCTCCTTCAAGATTCCCAGTTTCTGTTCCTTAGGCTTCAGTTTAAATATAACATTTCTTTAGCGAAATTCCCAAATCTTCGCTCTAAAAATGGGACCTCACCTGCTTCTGTAGCCTTAACACATTTTATTTGTATGTTTCTAATGGAACTGGCCTCATTTTTCCTTGCATTTTGGGGGTTGTCTAGTCTTACTACCCCTATTACGTTGTGTGTCCCTTGTGGACAGAGACTCTATCTTAGCCTTCCTTGTATGCCCCTTAATCCCTTTCAGAGTGGCTACCCAACCAATATTTCTTACAGAAATAACGAATAAAATAAATACTTGCCTTGTCTCCAGGTACATTGATTCTCTTTGTCAAGCAGGACACACAGCTGTTGGCAGGTGGAGCGCAGTGTGCCTGCCGTGTGCTCCAAGAGCTGCTGAAGGGCCCCACTGAGCTCTTGACCCAGAAAGACCACTGTGGCTGTCCACGTGGCCCCACCGGCCCCTTCACCGTGGTCATGGCCCAGGAGTGCCTGCTTCAGCATTAGGTTCTGTCTCCAAATCTGCTTCAATATTTGGCCGAGTTTACCGGAGCCCATACCTTCTGTATCCATTATATGCTCCAAGAGGGGAATGCTTCTTTCCTGCCAGCAAAGCCTAAAGGTTTAGCAAATTCAAACTTGGCAATGGTTATTTCTCCTAAAATCTAGGAGGTGATCCAAGTCAGCTAGCAGAGCACTTTCTCGAAACATAATAGTTTATTCAGCTTCTTGTTGACCAGTGTGAAGTTACTAGGTGACCAAAGGAGGGACGTTCCGCACCCTGGGTGCCATTGTGTACAGAATAGATTAATCACGGGGATGGCGCTAGCTCACACAACCCCATCCTCCATGTAAGTTTCACACTTCAGTGCCCATAGACTTCAAGGTTCAAAGGAACAAAATACAGATTCTGTGGAAAGATGAGAAGTTGATTATAAAGGTACCTTGTTTGAACAATACTGCTAATAAGATTCCTAGGTGATACTTAAAAATACTTACAAGTGAAATAATATGGTGTTTGAATTTCTTCAACATAATCTGGGAGTGTGGCGGTGGCGTATAAATGAAATAAGACTGGCTGTAAGTTAATCATTGTTGAACCTGGAAAAGATTACACATGGGTCTTTACAATTCTAATTAGCATATATTTATAATTTTTTAATAATGAGTGATTTTAAAAAAATATTCCTTTGCTGGGGCAGAGTCTATTACCATTGCATAGGTAAGTGTAATTAGTATTTTCTTATACGCACGCCTGCTATCAGTTTGAGGTAGAGATACTTGGCTTCTTTACTCTCTGATAATTTCCCTGTAAGTGGATAAAATGCCCCCCTCACTAAAATAAAGCCAACCTGCAAAGTGGCTTTCTCTGAACTAACAAGGAGTCTTCACCATGTTTAATGTATTAAAATTCAGATTCTGCAAGTTCTCACCACGCTGGCCCCAAAGTTGGTGCATTGTATGTGATGATATGGGGTGGGGGGAGACATGGGGATTTGCAGAGGAACCCAGAGCACCCTGCTTCCTCCTTTCCAATCCCCCTTCTCTAAGCAGGGAGGACACATCACCTAGGGAGAGGGCCCTGCATTCCAGAAGGCTCCCTTCTCAGAGGCACTGGAAGGAAATAAAAGCTCTCCAAAGGGAGCTGGAATGCTTCCTCCCACGGGCATTGTGTTATCTCATCTGAGGCACTGGAGTTCTTAGAACTACACTCAGGACACCTGGAACGCAAGATGGGGAAACTCAAACCTAGTGCCTAAAGAACAAGAATGAATGTCACAGGTCTAAGTCCTACCCAAGCTGCGTGTGGTGGGAAGAGCCCGAAAGAAAAGGGAAGGAGCAGTGTGAGGAGTGGTGGCTAGGAATGGTGGCTAGGATTCTCTAGGAGAAATCGGATTTTTAAGTGACCTGATTCAGTCATAATATGAGTCCATATCACATCATGAATCACATTGTTTTAATACTTTTCATCCTCTTTCAATACAAAAGACTTTCTGGTTCAATTTTCTTTTTAACTCCTGAAATATGTGTGACTCTCAATAATAAATGTATACATGGCTTTAATTCAATGCCAGTTCTGAAAACTTTCTATATCATTTACTGAATCTAGTCGCTGGGAATAGGGCTTGCTAGAACTTTGGAGAGAGGCAGACACATGAACAAATTATTAAAATACAGCTTATGCTGTGTTGAAAGCTAGAGCAGAAGTATGAATAAACAGAGCCATAAAAGCTTTGAGGAGTAAAGCATGAGTTCTGATTAGAAGCCTGGGAGGTGTTTGAATTAGGAGCTAAAGGATGATCGGGATGTGAGCATGCCAGACAAGGCAGGGAAGAAACGCTCCAGCATAGGAAATATGATTGAAGACACCGGAGCATGAAATGACAGTGTGGTCAAATAGGGGAAAGTGGCCTTAGAGGAGGGTTCAGTCAAGGAGTCAGGGATGTGGCAAGAGCGGAATATACTAATTGTGGGGAGTCAGGAGAAGTTGGAATTTTGTTTTGCAGATAAAAAAAGAGAAACTAAATATTCTTGAACCAAGTTAAAATATGATCAAACCTTTGCTGGAGGGATGCAAATGGTTAGGTGGTTAAGAGTTAAGAGTGTTAAGGGCTATATTAGACCAGCAACAGTGCAGGCCAGGGTAGGGGATGCTTTGAGAGGGGATTTGAAGCAGAGTGAATAGAACTTGCTGACCCACTGGTGAGAGGGAGATGAATAGAAAGCATTGAAAATCCATCCTTTTCATTTATTTGAGAAACAGTTATTGGTTGCTGGTGCAAGAACTATGCTGGTAGTGGACTATGACTACAATTTTTAGTTTAGGTGACTGAACAGATGGTAAAACAAATAATTAAAGTAAGGAATTTAGAAAAAAGAGGCTTAGTATCTAGACAATTTGATTAATTTTGGATTTATTGAATTTGAGATAACTCAGAAAGATTTTTTGGAATGTGTTAGAAAATTAGAAGAAAAGTCAGAATATTGGCCTATTT